AAGTACATTCATGCAATGTTCAACCATTTGAATATACCATGATGTAATTATAATCAATATAAAATTTGATAAAAGATGTTAGGGACAACATCAAAAGTTCAATGTAGGATAAAAAACTTAATTCCTTTAGTTTTTTACCAAACCCCCCACCCCCACTGAAACTTAATTGTTAAATATTGATCATGGCGTCAGACTACATTCACCATTAAATACAAATTGATAATCGGACAGTAGTATGGCATAGCAGTTGGCTGTCGGGTGGGTGTAAAAAGACTTTACCATTTTCTCATCTTGGATGTTTTGTTTTTCATTTTCTGTTATTTTTGTTCATGATTGGATAGAAAAAAACGAACTACAAATACTCCAAGATTTTTTTGACTTCATTAAATAATAAAATCGTTTTTGAAGGATGGAAACTTTTTGAGGTCAACCCCCCCCCCCCCACCCCCCACCCCCAAACTAAAGGAATTAAGTTTTTTATCCGACATCGATCTTTTGACGTCGTCCCTGATGTTCATATGCCACTGTGAACTGTTTCCACCCAACACAGCTTATGCGCCCGGTCGGCGCAATCACTTCAGTGACAGTAGATGGCAGTTGTCTAGAACAAACAGTGCATTTTTGTTGGTTGATGCTCCAAGTGAAAGTCACCGACTAGCTTGCATTGGTAGTACCAGCTTCCCATACAAGTATAGGAATAATATTAGGATATCTGTGTTTACAAAATTCAACACTATTTTGTGAAGATAATTAACACGATGAAGGCAAATACACACGCAAATATGTCCAGCATCTAAAGCCCTCTCACTCGACTATTAGTTTCTGATAAAAGGAGTAGTAAAAACATTGAGACATTTTTGAATAACATAAAGTCACTGTGAAATATTCATATTAACGATTCTCTCATGAAATGTTTACAGTGGATTTTTAAAATACCTCTTGCTTTCCGAGCAGCTTTATTAACAAGATCTTCCACTTCTGCAGCTCGTTTATCAGTGTCTTCTGCCTCTTTAGCTATTGGCTTAGCATCTTTCTTGGCTTTACGAGACTGCACAATAAAAGAATTATAAAACAAATAAGGAACAATGAGTGAATGACCTACTTGGGTAATAGTGCCCCTCCCCCTAAAGCTAACAAGCTAACTTCAGTGTATTGTGAGCCCCTCCCCCTAAAGATAATGATGACTTCAGTGTATTGTGTTTGTTAAATAGTTAATTTGTTTATTTTTTCTAATGTTTTCTATATAATAATAGGAATATGAAATAATGTCCATGATTGTCTGTTAGCTTACTGTTTCATTGAATGCAGCTTCAATATGGGACCACTGTGTGTCTACAATTTCTCTGTTTAGTTACAGTTGAATGCCTTGAATGCTTAGATGGAACACTGTAAGCAGATCCACTTATTGCCAAAAAAGGTGTTTTCATATCTTACTACCATGTTGTTGTCATTAATGTTTTTTTAAGGTAATAATATTATCCAAACATTGCATTATAATAGAAATACCAAATCATTGCATGAGAAGCTTTGTGATGACTTAGATGAACCAGTTTGCTACATAGCCATGTATCAAGGCTAGATATAGGCAAACACAGCATTAACGCATATATACAGTGACCCCTCGCTAAATCACAGGTTTCTGTTCAGTCCGCCTTTGTTCAACTCCGAAACAAATTTTAGCAGCTTTTCTTTATTCTTTACCACCCACGAATAGTGGACTCACTTTTATGTCGAAACTGCAAAACACAACAATAGAATTTTTGGGAACCATCCTACTACCCGTGACTTAGCCGAAAACGCGACTTACTGAGACTCAATTAGCGAGGGGTCACTGAATATCAATTTTTCTTTGTTTATTTTTTTGTATTTTAAATCTGTTTTAGTCTGATGTTTTTTGCTCTTTTGGTCATTACCTTACTTACCTTACCTTGTTTGTGTACGTTCCAAATAAAATATCATAATATCGCGTACATGTCTTTTTAGCGAATTAAGCGAGAGAACTGATTCGCTAGTTCAAGATGTCGCTAATGACTTTATTATAAATTCAAAATGGCCAAGGCTTGGGGATTTGTATACAGTAATCTGGAACATAAAAATCTGGGGTGCTTCCTAATTACCCTTGACAGTTTTCCTTTGAAATCAACAATGACAAGAGAGATTCGCTAAATCAACATTTCGCTATTACTTCATTTTACCGCAATTCGCTAAAATTGCATGTCGCTTTTTCAACATGTTTTACAGTATATTATGTCAATATTTAATGATTTGCTCAACGGACAAAAAAGTGATGGGTATTCAGGTTGCTACATGTAGGTACCTAATTATTAATAAAATTAAAATTTTGTAATTCTTACCCTTGCTTCAATGTCATTAGCATCATCTTTCAATTCACTGATATCATCCAGTATTGGTTGTAAATTGCCACTATAACCATTTTTAACACCTGGCAACTTGGCCTGAAAAATACAAGTTTTGAAAAAAAAAATCAAAAACACTGAAAATCCCTGTCAAAGATGCAATGAGGTTGAAAACATAATATATTTTAATATTGTTGTTCGATACTGAACACCAAATCGGATGATAATAAATTTATTTTTCTGTTATAAGTGTATCTGCAATTTAAGGTCAAATTTGTGGAAAGTATGTGCAAATTGTTATGACTCGATTTGTAGCACAATCATGTTTTTACAATTTTTTTTTTATTCTTCTTCACATTCACATCAATAATAATAATCATGAAAAATAAATGGTAAATAAAGTGACTGAAAAGCGTGGAAATGTAAAAAGAGCTATAGCATAGGGGCTCACAATACTCTGAAAAAAGTGCTTCCAATGGATTGCAAATAAATCGACACAATCGTGCTCTGCTCAACTCAACTCAACTCGAACAGTACTGACACATTTCAATTTAAATGTCTGAGGAAGATACTTTAAATCAGATGGCCATATTCTGTATCCAACAGTGACATACTCAAACAAACATGAAACGGATCAGCAATGAAGTCAATGCGGGAGATGGAAATAGAATGGCCATGTGCTAAGAATGGAGGATAACTTACTGTTGCATTACAGCCCTCACATGGACACCAGGAGGGAGAAGAAAATTAGGGTGCCCTAAAACAACATGGAGGCGAACGGAAAAGAGGGCAAGGAATCTATAGGGGTGGACATCACAGAACACAGCTGAGTCAATTTCCAAAGACAGGGTACACTGGAAAGTGAATCCTGCAGCTCTAGCGAAAGATAGATCATGCTCGATCAACTAAAGAAAACTACAATATTACCCATAGTTCATATGCTGTGTCGTTTATCTTCATGAGTCTCTTGACTGCATCAACACCAACAGAGACACCTGTGAGATCATCAATAGCATCTGAGACATTATAGTCCATTACATCCATCTCATCCAAAAGTAAAGTTACGCAGGAATCACATTCTGTAAATAAAAACAATTTTAGTTTAATGATTAAAGCTTGTGTGAAAGTCAGGAATGGACTATTTGGACTATTTCCAGAATTGGCTTCATTTGTTTCAAATATATGAAGAGAGGGAGTCATCACCTGCGCATGCATCAGATGGCCATAGCGTGTCATTGTTTAAAAACAAGCGTCTACCCATGAGCCTTTGCGTTTTTAGAATGTGTTGTTATCGTCGTTTGGGGTTCAATTCCCGCATGCGCAGGTGACTACCCTCCCAGTTTAAATGAAAATATATAAAAACATAGAAAATAAATCTGTCTGTTTGTCTTAATACTATATATATATATATATTTCCAAATTGTTTAAGCGACAGTCAAATAAATAAATTTGTTCCATGTCATCAACTCATAAATAGATTTGGACAAACAAACAAACATGTTTCAAACAAAAACTAGAATAGTGAAAACAATAAAAAAAATTCTGCGGAATTCACAAAACAATGACAGTAAACTATATATAAGTTTTACTCCTAAAATTCACAATTGCAGGATTTGATGGCACTAGTGAAAACATATTTCACAAATTTCACTATATTGCAAAATCAACAACAATTTTATTTTCACAAAATGGAAGTGGTTAACACAGTACTCAAAATCAAAATGCAGTCAGTGTTGAAATAATATTTATTGTCTTGTCTACATTTGAACTGTTGAAAGCACTAACAAAATTTGATGCATACATGTTAGGAATATTTGTTAATAAAATCAATCTAATTGTTATCAACGACTTACCTTGGCACCCTTGTTCTGTTAAAACATATCTTTCTTCGCATTGATCACATTTAGGTCCCTTTGCACCAGGTAAACAGACACAGTCACCAGTAGTGGGATGACATCGTAGATTCTCACCACAGTCACATCCTGCATGAAAATAGGAAAACCAATTTATTCATTCATTGGAAGACTACACAACTAGATGGCATGGTAGATTTCTTCAATGTTCATGTCAACAGGTAGAGCCACAATATAGGCCTGGCAGTTCCGTAGTTATGGTAACATGTTTGGTGACCTTGACATTCTCCTTTGATTCAAACTTGAACCAGGTCTTAGGGGTCATGTACAGAACTCTTTACCTATTTTTCCTTCTGTATTATAAAGCACACACACATACACATGGCACTGAAAGCTCTTTGTGCTAGCCTTGGCGAGTACAACAGCTAAAATAATACCCAAGTACATGCAGTTGGTTGCCATTAAAACTGATTGCTAAATTTTCTCAACTTTTACAGATTTTGTGACTTTATGCTGTTCACATAATAGTGATAAAAAGCTAAGGTCACCGGACTACTTTTCGCATAAAAAATGAAAATGGTGATTTTTTAGCCATTTACCAATGGTAAAAAGCAGTCACCATATTTTGCTCAAAATTTTGCTCAGGTTACACATAGTGAAACAAACATATGTAGTTAGAAGACAGATGCTTATGATTGTTCCGAATTATTGAGAATTTCTGACGAATAATTTTTTATGAAGTGTCTTAACATGAATTTCTATAGATGGGCGTGACAGCTTGTCTTGTACAGGCCCAAAAAACGCAAAAGATGATAACTTGTGTCTGAAACAATTAACGTAACATTTTGAAGCAAACAAATTCTTATGAACAAAATCAAATAAGCATATTGACCTGAGCATTATGCTTTTCTGCCACAGAATGAACAATACAACAACAAACTGAACAAAAGAGTCTACAATAGCCTACAAAGTCACAAAAACAACTTAATACGACAAGAACAAATTAAAACAAATTAAAGGTTAAAATCATACTAAGGTCTTTAACTTTCATCGTCTTTCATGTTTTGTAGCTTTACACAAATGATTTGACTTGTTGGTGACATTTGAACTTGTACTTACGCTCACAGCCATTTAGTTGATAATTCCAGTAACCAGGTAGACATTCACCGCAGTCTCTGCCGCCGACTCCAGGCTTGCAATCACACTGTCCTGTATCATCGTCACATTGTGAGTATTCAGATCCTGATTTGCATTCACATGATTGACATCCATTGCATGTATTGAAGCCATAGTAGTTTCTCTGAAAAAATTAAATATAATAACAATTTGAACTCATTATTAAATATAAAAACAAATGCTCATAGATTATAAAGCAATAGTGATCACATCACAAATATGATAGAATACTTCACAGAGGATACTGAAAAAAAGTGATGAGCAAAACCGCTATTTCCCTTGGAAAATTTGCAATAGTCCTTGGAATGTTCCTTAGTACCAGTTCCCTCTCTTTATCACAATTTCACAAAATAGCCCTGTTTATAGTCTGCACTCCCCTACAGAAGATTGGGACAAAAATAACCAAATTTTTTGAGTAAAAACTGAAAATTGACTAAAATTTTGTATGTTGGCTACAAAATTAGGGTTCATTTCCAGAAATATTGAAGAATGTAAGAAAAAAAGTGTGACAAAATTTGTGCGAGAAAGTCTCTCGGTGAACAAGTTAAATCTCAGCAGTTGGTGCTCCTGGACACAACTATTTTCACAAGGGGTGCTGGGTGGTAAAAATTATATAAAGTGCATCGTTTGTTTTTCAATTTTACCCATGATTTTGAGCAAAGGAATTACATGAAATAATATAATGATAAATAGTGAATTTTTAATCCAATATGAACCTTTTACACTTAAACACAACAAACTAGTATTCGATAGCTAACATTAAGTTTAATTTCAAATTTAACACTCGTACAAAATTTATGCAAATCTCTAACAATTGAATGCAAATTTATAACAAAACACTAGTTCCAAGGGATATTGTATTGTTCCAATAAAAATTGATGGGGATATTGTGGTTTTCATAATTAGTTTATTTTGGCACCCCTTATAATTTAATAATTTGCATTACTTTCCAAATGCGGTAATGTACTTTATTTTGAATATTAATTACAAGTATGTTGTTGTTCACAATACCTAAAGTATGCCCTCTAGCGGCAGAGATGAGGCACTTCAAATTTTGTACCACTAATTAGATTTCCACAATGGACAATGTTAGTTTTTATCATGTCAAATCAACAGTTGCCCAGATACACAGGTGACCAGTACTGTAAAATACTTTATTTTACCTGGAACTAATTTTCGATTGAGAAGCCTTTTCGGGTGTTTTGTATGGAATTTATTTTCACTGATTATTGACAAGTTGAATGTAAAATATAGGAAAAAAAGGTATATTTGCTAGATTTTATTTTTCACAGAATCATTCCTTCAGCGAAAATAAAGTATTTTACCATACTGGTCACCTGTAGATCTGGGCAATTGTGAATAAACAAATTTCTTTCACTAGTTTAACAGCCGACATCAATGAAATTCACCTGGTATGCATAAAATGCAGAGAAAAAATCCCATTTGCAAACAACAACCATATGATCTGAGAGCTAGGAGCACTGAACAGCTAATTTTAGTATGAGATCTTTAGTAAGCATATGACATTGCTTCCCGCTTGCGCAGATTTATACAAGGCATTAAGTATGCCCTCTAGTGGCAGAAATGGGTCAGTCACTGGTCAGTTTCCCAGTCAAGCCTACAACAAAAAATATTTTCTCTAGTGGCAGAAGTTATTGGAATTTCTGCAATAATTTTCTAGTGGTAAAAATGAGACAACTTGCTGAGAATGTCAGTTTACAAATACAAATATTTATTCCCTATAGTAATAGAAAAGAAACAACTTACTGGACATTTGTGGCACCGACTTCCAGTGACACCAAGCTTGCAAAGACAGACACCAGTTTCAGGATGACAACTTTCTGTGCCACATTCATCACAGTCACATTCTGGAAGCAGAAATAAATTGTTGAAAGTAATAACTTAAAGAATATTAAAAAGATAAAAGTTGAATTAACTTTTTCGTATATGTAACCATGTCGAATTTACCGTAGATTTGGTGATCTTATTTTGTGTGATTTAGCTAGTTGGAGAACCCTTCGTTAGAACGCTGTTGGTTCAGCCCTTGATTGAAAGCGAAAGCAGACGTGTCAGACATGTACCAGAGATTACACTTTGGGATATTTATAGATCTTACGAAATCATAATACCATGTGTTAGGAA